TGTACCCCCTCATCTGATGGCTTCATACATGCATGTACTCCGGTCTCTTATGCTTTAGGCAGCTTTACACATTACAGATCCAATACATGGACAAGGCATATGTCGTATTGCTTCATCTCACACCTACATACAGCATTGGAATGCAATGAGAATCACATAGGACAGGATGTATTTTGGAGCTCTGCACCACATCACAAGGCGACTCAAACATCATTTTGTGATATTTGTGTTCAGTAAAGTATTAAAAAAAAGGTAAGCGTGCCATGCGCTGTGACAATGCAGGTGCTCTTTATACAAAACACAAACACCCAGTGTTATAAACGGGCCATTATGTATAAGCTACTCACTTTTGTTTTCCTTTTTGGCAGATTTCTCTCTATTTCCTGTCCCAGAGACACAGCAGGAGGAAAAGAGAGATCACTTTAAAGCAAGGGGAATCCCTTTCATTTGTCACCAGAGCAGGTTTCCCTGTTCATTTCCCTCACTTCCTGTTCTAGTGACAACTCAGAAATGTCTTGTGATTTCCTGTACTGAAGACAATGGTCACAAGGACTAATAGAAGGTGAATATACCCGTCAGGGACACAAATGGCTATAAAAACCTGCCAGGGTTCCAAGCCTTCCCTTTCTGTATAATACAGTTTGGGTTTCACATACATATCAGAGAATTGGGTGAGTGTGGAATTGTTAGGATCTCTTATTATGACAGCATTGAGGAGTTATTTTTGGGCTATGTGATGAAATCAGACCTGTGATCAGCTTCTGTTCTACACACAGATTCAGTTTGATTCCTGTAGTTTCTTCTCATCATATCCGCAATTGTTTTATTGTCATATTACGTGTAATCTAAAGTGATACATGGAAGGGATTTATCAGGATGTGTCATTAATGAAGCACACCTGGGCAGACATTCACCTAATACATTGTATATTCCACTCATCAGGTGAATAATCAGTGTGATTGTGCCAAGCTGTGATCACATCGGGTTGTGTAGAATCTCAGCACTCTATAAGCTGAATTTATAGAGAAGATGCAGCTCTGTATTTTTCAATTAGTCAATATTATTATTATAATAATAATACAAAAATATATATTTTTTATTATTGCAAGCATGTACATCCCTGAACAAGACTGAGGGGGCTGACTTATAACACTGAAGTCCATGAACCCATCGCACTCCTGACCGCTTAGCCCTAAAATAGCTGATGTGTGCTGTGGTGACCAGTGGATGGTGCCGTCACTTACACAAATGGTGAATAGCGCGTCTTTTATTGATGTAAGTGCCACGTATCGCACAAATGCAACGTTGTGCTGCTTCACGTCTATGTTCTGCTGTTTAATGTGAATGGGATAAGGAAACCCTATGGGCCTGTTCACACATACACATGTGTGTTACAACACTGAATCCAGCCTAAGTGCCTGTTCACACGATGTCCGTTTTGTGTGCTGACCTGATCCGTACGCTCCTGCACTAAAAATGTATCCCTATGTGTTTTATGGGCTACAGTTCTCACGTGTGCAGTCCGTTCAGGTTACGACAGAAAAATACTGCATGTCACATTTTGTACGGTCAGGAAACGATCAGGATATGCAAACGCGTCCAAAACGCACTGCGCTGCAGCTAACATACTAACAGCCCCATTCCATCAAAAACGCGGCCAAAACGCACTGCATCAGTAGCACCGCGTCTGCTGATCCGGACCTGATCAGGACCTGAAACTCATGTGAACAGGCCCTAAAGCTGGCCATGCACCTATAGATCTGCAGACTTTCTATGGTCCGATGGAAAAAGTGGAACGGATTCCTCCATCTACGCTAAACTGTGTGGATGGAGTAATCTCCACTGAGCTTCAGTATCTTGCTAGTTGGCCCCGCTGGCTGTCAAAATACCTGAACAATGCCTGTATCCAATCAGATCGTTCAGGCATTTTGACAGCCAGCGGGCTGAGGTTAAGGTGTAGTATTTCTTTGTTATTTTCCTCCCTAGACTACAATGAGCACCTAAACCTGGCACTACAGGGGTACCCCCACATCAAGGGTTGTTTTCTTCTGCCAAGAGTTCTTCTTTAATGTGTTGGCTGCACAGGCTGCTTTCTTCTGCCAGAAGGACGTTCTAGGAATCAATAGTTTGTCGTTGTTGTCAGCAGCGTTGCTGTAGGCTCCACTATCGCCGAGCTCTCCTGTTCCTGTCTTCACACCATGTTTAATGAAGCTGCTCCCGGCTCACACACTAGCGGTCTGTGCACTTATGCATGGAATGAATTCTCAGAAGACGTGTCATCGCCGCATCCAAACAATCGGCTCACGTACAGCGGGAGTGTATAAAGCGGCTTATTCCGTGCGGAATGCGTGTGCGAGATCATGAGACGCGGGAGAAGGATGAGAGAAGTGTTGCCAGTTAACAGAGCGTAAACTTCTCACAAAGGGAATCTCTCTTAAGTGCTAAAAACCTGCGTGTTCTATCCGCCATGTCAAATCGCAGAATGTGTACTTCTGGAAACTTCTCTTTATGGAACATGGTTGCAATTTTTTTGAACATAGTTGGGTTAGAAAAGTCATTATTGGATCATGCGTGCCGGCTGAACTCCGGGATAAGCATATATTCTCTAAATACAAGAGCCCTGTGTATTCTTTAACAGGGGCCACTGGAAACAATGGGATTCCTCTGAGGATTGTAGTGCTTAGCTCGATCAGCTACAAAATATGGATGCACCAATACTGGTACTCGGTATCAGCCGATACCGAGTACTTGGGCGAGTACTCCAGAACTTACCCCCGATACTGGAACTTCCGTTCAGACCCCTATCACATTTTTTTTTTGCTATCTGAGTCCCGACAGGGAGATTTCCCCTCACTTCCTGTCCTGGCGACACAGCAGGAGGTGAAAGAAAATCTCTCCAAAGTGAGGATAAATCCCCCTTTCCAGAGTCATCAACAGAACAGGTGGAATTTATGGATATGGATCATCATCTCATTGACAAATGGGAGAGGACGACTCTCCCCGACATCAATAAACAACCATCACCTACAGCAATCATACGACCTTCTCCTCAGTCCAGTACACGCTTTGTTCACCAATACTAAGCCCTGATGGAGGGCGCCGTGAGCCTCCGAAACGTGTCGGCTTCTTAGGATACAAAATTCTTAAAATGAAACCTGGACTGCCAACGTTTCTGCTTTTGGAGGCGCTTTCCTCCTTTCATACCCAATCAGGGGTTCCAATCACTCCCTACGCCAAAGGTTACCCTTACAGTGGGGCTCCCCCCCCACCTTCCCCTCCAATCAGGAAGCTGGGTGTCCGGTAATGACACGCATCCCGGCTTCCTGATTGGCCGCGAAGCTGGCTCGATGGTGATTGGCCAGGAAGCCGGCTTAGCAGCCAATCTGATTTGAGCCGGCCAAACAGCTAGCTTGACAGCCAGCCAAGCGGGAAGCTGGACGGTGAGTCATTACCTGCCTCCCCTTCCTGGCCAATCAGCTTTGAGCCGGCCAGCCAGCTGGCTAGATGCTGATTGGCTTTGGAGCCGGCTTCCCCTCCAATCAGGAAGTTGGGTGTCAGGTAATGACCCACCTCCCAACTTCCTGATTGGCAGCAAAGGCGGCTCAAGGCTGATTGGCTTTGGAGTTGGCTTCCAGGCCAATCAGGAAGCTGGGTGGCAGGTAATGACCCGCCTCCCCGATTTTGTGATTGGCTGCGAAGCCGGCTTCCCGGCCAATTATCATTGAGCTGGTCAACAGCATGGAGTCGGCTTCCCGGGCAATCAAGAAGCCAGGCGTCGGGTAATAACACACTGCCTGGCTTCCTGATTGCCCGGGAAGCTGGCTCCCCGCTAGCGGTAGTATCGGTACTCGGTATCAGCTTTTACCGACATATAAATATCGGTACTCGATACCGAAAAAACGGTATCGGTGCATCCCTACAACAAAACATACTGACAGAGTAAATTTACATGGCAGCTTGAGCTATTGAGGTTTGTTAAGCACAGGCTTCTTTTTACCAGGTGTATAGGGAAAACATGGAATGGAGGAGAGGGATCTACATGGTAGCTAAAACAAATCCAAACTATTGTATAGTGTATGAGAAGTAGGGATGTCCCGATACCAGGCATTTTCATGATGACTTGTACTCATTTTTGGGCTGCTGTGGAGGGATCATGTGTTGGGCTGCTGTGGAGGGATCATGTGTTGGGCTGCTGTGGAGGGATCATGAGTGGGCTGCTGTGGGGGGATCTGATCACGTATACCTAATCAAGAATGGGAAGCTTACTACTCCTATTAGCTGTCATGTGGGATTATACCACAATCTTGATCTCTCCATCATAA